AATTAGCAGTTAATTGATGATATCTACCCATGAAGAGAAAATATATATGAATTCCAGCACTCATGAATATTTAGCTCAATTCAGAATATATAATTAACAAACCAAACCCTTAGACATTAGCTAATGCCTTCCCAAGTACATCACATGCTCACTGCTGACCTCGGGCCTCTTCTGAAGCCAACTCCAGCAACAGACATCATTTTTATCTCACATACTCCCATTCTCTGGCACTTCTCTTCTTGTTGTCATAAATAAGCCACTAGCAGGGTAGAAAAAGTGGCTTTAGGTTATCCTTGGTGTGTTAGTTCGCTAGGGCTGCCATAACATGATACCACAGATTGGGTGACTTAAACAACAGAAATTTATTTTCTTGCAATTCTGAAGGCTGGAAGTCCCAGATCAAGGTGCCTGCAGGGTTGGTTTCCTCTGAGGGCCATATAGGAAGGATCTGTCTGTTCCAAGCCTGTCTCCTTGGCTAAGTTTTCCCTCTGAACACCAGCACCCTAGATGTGTCTCTATTTTCCTGATCTCCTCTTAGAAGGACACCTGTCAAATTGGATTACAGCCCACCCTAATTGCACAGTCATTTTAACTTAACACCTCTTTAAATGCCCTCTCTCCATACACAGTCAACTAAATTCTGAAGTACTGGGAGGTGGGACTTACACATGAATTTTGGAGGAGCACAGATCAGTTAAGCTCATAACACTTGGGCTTACCAGTAAACTGACAAAGGGAAGACAATTAACTCAGTCTGAGACTGAAACATATCTAGTAAAGAATAAACTTTTTCTCCTTGCCTGAAAAGAGCTCATTCTAGCCACTCATGAACAGGCATATGATTAGAGAATTTCAGTGAAAGAAATGAGGCAATGTATGAGTTACAACTAACTGTAAAATAAATATCTAAATATAATTCCCTCATTTGAGACAGTTTCACTCATTTTTTAAAAACTATGTATATGAAAAACATATTCTATGTTCCCATTCTTACCAAGCCCCAGAACCAGGAAAGAGATCTAACAAATGGTCCTAGAAAGCAGAGGCCGTGTACTGAATATGGTGGATGGCCAACCGCTACTCAAGCAACAAAAGTCACAACTACAGAGAGCTTAGTTCCTGTTACAAAAGAGGGGCAAAAACAAGCAAAGAAACAATGTCAGGGGAATTAGATTGCAGCTTAGAGTTATTTGCAGTTTTTATTAAATGCTAAAAGTTCCCACGTCCTAAAAGTAATTGCTTAGTCATTAGGAAGTTACCTCTCTTTTACGTCTTAGGGAAAAAGAAAAGTAATATAATGCTGTTAGAATTTTCATCATTGAAAATGTTAAAGTAACACTGAGGTGGTAAAAATTCCACGGTCATTTATTTATTCTTAAATTAATGATGGAGCAAACCACAAAAAGAATGTTCTAAAAACCACTTGGGGGAGATGAAAGAAGTTTGTGAGATTTCCTTTCAATTACATACCCAATGATAGCTTCACAAGATATACAAGCAAGTTATTTAGATATACAATCACTGTTTTCAGACCAACAGATCTATTACTATACAGATATATGTGTCCCGTAGTTTCATATATCCAGACTTTCTAAGTGATGAATGAACAGTTAGGAATCTCTGTTATAAAGCAAATAATCCTTTTTATAGTATAGATATTCACCAGTAATTTATCTCTTTATTTCATTTAAATTTTTAAACATATGGTTTGCTTAAAAACCCAGGTAAAACAAGATACACATGTCTGATATTGCAAAGAAGGAAATAGTGTTTTCAATTATGGTTCATATATTTAATCAATTATGAATTCCTTAGTTTCTAAAGTTCAATTAAATTAAGACTTTTAAAATAAATATCTGAGTGTGTATATGAAAATTATTTCTTTCCCTCTCTCCCTCTCCCCCTTTGATTGTCACATGAAATTAATGGCTAAAATATGAATTTTAGGTGGAAGAAGAATAAGAAAGCAATAAAATAACAAAAATACCTATGCATAATTTATAATTACTGTTAAAATTATAAAGAAAATATTCTACATGTTTAAATTCATTAGCTGTGAAATAATCTGTTCATTGCACCTTATTTTCTCACTGATTATTAAAATCAGAAATTCGTGTTCATTATTAAAATTTTGTCTTTTGGGTATAATGAGAATATACTTAAGAATTCTGAATTCTGAAAACTTATCAAACTATCGTTATCTAAAGACACAATAACAATAATATTGTTTTTGAATAAACTTGAAAAAAACTTTACTAATATGTAAAAACACTTCAAGGGTCTTGTGTGGATTAATCATCTTTTGCCCAATTCTATTGCCCATTTATTTTTTTGTTGTTGAAATATAGTTGATGTACAATATTATACAAGTTACAGGTATACAGCATAGTGATTCAGTTTTTAAAGGTTACACTCCTTTAAAGTTCTTATGAAGTATTTGCTATATTCCCTGCACTGTACAATATATCCTTGTAGCTTATTTATTTTATACATAGTAGTTTGTACCTTCTAATCCCTACCGTTATCTTGCTCCTCTCTGCTTCCTCTCCCTACTGGTAACCACTAGTTTGTTCTCTGTATCTGTGAGTCTGTTTCTTTTTTCATTATATTCACTAGTTTGTTTTATTTTAAAATTCTACATAGAGGTGATATCACACAGTATTTGTCTCTTTCTCTCTGACTTACTTCACTCAGCATAATACCCTCCAAATCTATTCTCCATCAGATCTGAATGAGAGCCTTGCTGGGTAGGGCATTCTTGGTTGTAGATTTTTGCCTTTCATTGCTTTAAGTATGTTGTGCCACTCCCTTCTGGCCTGCAGTTTCTGCTGAAAAATCAGATAGTCTTAAAGAAGTTCCCTTGTATGTTATCTGCCGCTTTTCCCTTGTTGCTTTTAATATTCTCTCTTTATCTTTAACTTTTGTGATTTTAATTACAATGTGTCTTGATACGTTCTTCTTTGGGTTAATCCTATATGGGACGTTCTGCCCTCCCTGGGCGTGGATATCTGTTTCCTTTCCCAAGTTAGGGAAGTTTTCAGCTATTATCTCTTCAAATGTATTCGCAGCCCACTTCTCTCTCTCTTCTCCTTCTGGGACCCCTATAGTGTGAGTATTAGTGTGTTCGATGTTGTCTCAGAGGTCTCTTAAACTGTCCTTGTTCCTTTTCATTCTTTTTTTCTTTTTTCTGTTCAGCAGCAGTGATTTCCACTACTCTGTCTTCCAGCCTGTTTTGTCCCCAGAGCTATTTGCTCTAGGGGTTCCCTCTGTGTGGGCTGGGTGGGTCCTTCTATTGTGACAGGCTGATTACCGTGGGTGGTCTGGTAGGCATGGTTGGCCCCTAACCAGGCTGCCAGGCCCTGCCTTGTGCAGGGCCTGCAGGACATTGGTTGGCAGGGCTGGGTCATGAGGCAGCTGACTGCAGAGTATTCTTTGGTGTAGGTTTTTCCTGGGGTTCCCTGTGGCTAGTGCTGGCTCACAGGTGGGTGCAGACAGGGTCCAGGATACCCTGGGGCTGTTGCCCACCCTCTGGTAGGTGAAGCCAGATCCTGGGGCTAGTGCCAGCTTACTGACTGACAGAACTGGATCATGGGGTCTGCTTGCAGGGCCCAGGGGTCCCAGAGCTGGTGTCAAATCGCTAGTGGGTGAGGCTGGTCCCAGGGAAGGATCTGGGCTGCTCATTGTGGGGGCCAGGTCCATGGGCTATGGGACTGTGGCTCATATCTGCCTGAGGGTGGGTGAGGCTGGTCCTGAGGCTAGAGCATGCTCACTGGTGGGTGGGGCCAGGGCCCAGCAGGTCCCAGGGCAGAGTATTACCTGCTAGTGGATGGGCTGGGTTTGCAAGCTGCAGAATTTGTGTCTGCCCACTTGTGGGTGGAACTAGGTCCAGGGTTTTCAGGTTGGAGGGCCCTGGGGGTTCTGGGTCTGATGCCTGCACACTAGAGTATGGGTCCAGGTCTGGGCCCATGGATGGCTGTGGGTTCAGGGGGTCTTACGGCAGCTGCTGGTGGGTAGAGCTGTGTCCCTGCCTAGTTATTTGCTTAACCTGAGGCATCCAGCACTGGTGCCTATAGGCTGTTGAGCCAGGGCAAGGCTGGGTCCTGAGGCTAATAACCCAAAGGAAGGTTTCCAAAATGGTGCCTACCAGCACCAGTGTCCACATGGTAGAACCAGCACCCAGATGGCTGGCACCAGTGTCTACATCCGCAAGGTGAGGTCCAGTTGCTTCCTGCCCCTCCAGGAGACTCTCCAAGATCAGCAGGTAAGTCTGACCCAGGCTTCTTTCAAATTACTGCCTCTGCTCTGAGTCCTGGAGAGTGTGATGTTTTGTATGTGCCCTTTAAGAGTGAAGCCTCCATTTCCCCCAGCCCTCTGAAGCCACATGCTCTGAGGGCTTGTATTCCCAGTGCCAGACTCCAGGCTGGGGAGCTCGATGTGGGGCTCAGACCCTTCACTCCTGTGGGAGAATCGCTGCAATTCCTATTCTTCCCTTGTTTGTGGGTCACCCACCTCGGGGAGTGGGACTTGACTATATCATGACTCTGCCCCTCCTGCCTGTGTCCTTGTGGTTGCTTCTTTATCACTTTCCCTGTAGAAGATCTTTTCTCGTAGGTTCTGGTCTGTTTTGTCAATGGTCGTCATGAAATAGTTAAGTTTTGGTGCGCCCGAGAGAGGAGGCGAGCTCAGGCTCTGCCACTGTTGCCGATCTCCTCTTAGGTTTTTTATGTTTTATTAATGGCTTTGTCACTGTTGGCTGGAACGCCTGTTCTGGCCTACTTGAAATGCCTGTGCCATTGGGAATTAATCTGTAGACTCGGCCTACCTGCAGTACTTACATTGATCGGGCCCTACAAATGGAAGAAATCAGGCATCTCTGGATCCATGGGTCCAGATTTCTGTTTACCCTGTTGTGGAGCCTACTCCAGCTTTGTACTTTGGGGCTCGCATTTCTTTCCTGATGCTCAAATTCCACACACTTGCTAAAGGATACGCAGCATCACTTACCTGGTAAAACCATTGAAGGAAGCATATTCCTCAGCTGTGAATCCATAAATATCTTGGCGGGATAGGTCCACTTCTTGCTGAAGAAGAAGACTGACTAAACTCGATGGTTCATCGCTAAGAGCAATCATAAGGGCTGTTCTGGAGCAGGAGATATAAATAAATGTTCATTTATGAATCTTAAACTTGTATTTTTAAAAAGTTAAGTCTTTTAAATTTACTGTTCATATGTAGGATCTCTACCAGGAAAGGAGTCAGGACAAGGATGTAAAATGTGGGGCAAATCTGCTCAGAGAGGTGTGCCAATCACAGGTCATGTCGTAGACTGAAGAAAAGAGACCCTAGGAAGCAGCTAGTTCAGCAGATCTCAATCCCTGCTCCCTGGAACCCTTTTCTAGGAGATGTCTCAGAAATTCTATGGAGGGGTGTATCTGAGACTCTGGGTGCCCCATCCCCATTTAACTATAGCATCTGGGACTGAGAGGTTGAGTTCCTGTGGAAGGTTCTAACATTACAAAAAATAATAATAGTAATAACCTACCAGTATGGCCCAACTCTTTGATACTACAGATGGAAAAATAGATCCTGGGAATTCAGGTAATTTGTCCAAAATCATATGGCAAATCTTTTCAATAGCAAATATATATAGGCTTAATTCAAATTGTGGGCAAGAGCAGACTGGAGTATTTAAGAAATGAGCACTTAGCATTTTATATATATTCCTGTTAGATAGCTGTAGTTATATGCTCTTGTTTAACATTAATTATACCTTTGATTTTTATCTGAAGCATTCACATCTGCCCCTCTCTTCAGAAGAAATTCTACCATTTCTGCATTATTTTCAGTAATGGCAAGTAAAAGTGGAGTATACCCATCCTGAAAAAATTATTTCAAAGTGATTATTTATAATACTGTACCAACATTATATGCCTTTTAGAATTAAGTTCAATTCAAAAATAAGGATGCTTATATGAAACTTCTGAATGTACACTCAAATTTTAAAAGATTTTGACATATAACAAAATATGACTTTAGAGATCAAGAAAATAAATTGGAGTTGGCCAGTCAAAAAATAAAAGTTTCTACTTCAGGCTTAATTCAAACTGTGGGCAAGAGCAGCCTGGAATATTTAAGTAATGAGCACTTAGCATTCAACATAAATACTGCAAACCATTAATTCACATTTCATGATGTTGTTACAGTTGGGTTTCCATAGGGTTTCATTTAAACCTCCAAGGTTAGCACTTATTTGAGGCTGTCACATAGATAAAGTATCAGTGATCTAAAGTGTTAAGAAGCTTAAAAATAAATACTCATCAGTTATCAATAAAGTCTTAATAGGAGAGTTGGGTTACTTTGAGTATAACAAGT